ATTTCACCTCATCTCAACCCGGGCCATCTTTCATAAGCACTCTTCCCTGTATCTTTGCACCTCGCTTATGCTGTCGTGTCTAATGGCAACACTTCATAGATTTCGATATCGCCTCTATTTGTTTAAGGCCAAATAGCTTCATCTGGTCCATCAGAGAGCCTAGATTCCAATTTTTTGTACCATTTCCCATATAATCTCTCAGACTTTTTTTAGGTTATGGATATTCGACTTCAAATTTTGTCTTAGCTACACTTTTGGGGCCTCCGAATTTTTTGATTACTTGTTGTTTATCTTTGGTTTCTCCCAATTTCAAAATTGCACCTACATTTTCTAATTGTTGAGAGTGTATGAAAATGAGGTTCGCATATCTGTTTTACCAGAAGACGACGGCGGATTTGCTTCGGTCTGCTATGGCTTTATTGTAGTGGCAACTTTAGTTTGTCTCAGTCCTCAAGACACTCCTTTTCCATTTCAGTGAAGATATGCAGAACTTTCATCTGTCAGTTTTTTGCCTGAACCAAGAGGGACCCACCGTTTTCTTATAATGAGATCGACCCTACGAATTTATTCGGCGCACGTTCGACACAAACTGAAGTCAGCTCATGAGGTTTAGCGAAGCCCAGTTAATTCCTATTCTCAAACCTATTTTTTTCTATATAAATATTACCTTTTGGTCTTATGGACCATGAAAACAGAGTGGAAGTAGACCACTTAACATGTAGACTTTATCCCTTTTCATACTATCCCTATAAATGACAAGATCTTTTGAGATATTATTTTCTATTTTGAAAATTAAAGATGCGTTTTTTTCTTTATCTTTCCTGGAAAATCAAGCTATGAAGACCAAGATGGTGTGGCCCCCAGTATGGTCGCAGTCTCCTTTCGATTTATGGAAGTGGGTTGACCTCGTTGTCGAAACTTGATCTTGTTGTCACGGTGACCTAGCCGAACGCACCTTGTACTAAGTCCTCTGCCATAGTAGTTGTCATAATTCCCAGCGTCAGTTCGTGGATTTGGTACATTCTCATACGTTTAGCCGCACCGTAGTCGGCATCATCAGTGAGTGTTGCCATTCTCTGCACCAAGCTACAAACTCGTCAAAGAGACAAGTAAAGTCAATCCCTTGGCCAGGCTTCTGCCGAACAGTTATGCTCTCCCTCTTCTTTCTATCCTGGCACATCCACCTACTTCCTATCTTGGTATCTTTCTCCCGCCTCATCACAACATCTGAATTGGTTATATTTGACTCCTTCAGAGGTGTGCCATTTTTGTCGAGTTTAGTGTGGCATTATCACACCTGCTGATTACCTTGCGTCCCCTCCCTTGTTGCGGAGACTGGCAACACTCATTGATGATGCCGTCGAAACGTCTGAGAATGAAACAAGTCCACAGACAGATTCTGGAAATTATGATAACTACTATGACAGAGGACTTAGAATGAGGTGCGTTCTGCTAAGTCACCCTGACAACAAGGCTAAGTTGCGACAACGAGGTCGACCTATTTCCTGGATAATGTTTTATCTCAATCGCCCTAACTTTCCTTTTAATCTGATAAATTGCGACACCATTTTACATTTTTTCAAGATTTTGTGAACCCTTTAAAGGCATTGCATTGGCTTAATTTACTTAAAATTGGCAATATTCTCTATCTCCATTAAGGCTTAATCTATTTTTTTTCACTTTTTCCCCTTTCTATACTTATTATTGATCTTCATTTTTTGCTCAGACTAAATACTTCACTCCCCCTCACTTCAACAAGCGTTGCATTTCACAACAACTTTTCACACAATTCCAAACCTAGCTGTGTTTCACTTGCCCCTGGTGGACACTTAAATAGAAGCTGTTCTCCCGTCTCTTCTTCTTCCTCCTCTACCACCTCATCATCGATGAATTCCACTTCGAGTTGCAATCAGTTGGCAGTTGACTCGCTTTCCACGCCCTCCGCTGAGGTAACTGCAGACAGTCACTGGGCCGGTACTCGAAACTCCGGCACTGCCAGCTCTGCTGCGCTTCGAGCTCCCATTGCCTCAGTCTTCAAGAATGCTATTAGGCCTGGATTCGTTGACAGGGACAACCGTTTTGGCGTTCGAGCCTGCATCGCTGGAAATTGCGATGTTGTCGATGTTACATCTTCCGGTTGCAATGCCACAAATCGAGGTAATTCGAATCAAGCAATTTCAAGTCTTCTTTCTCCGAGCTGCGATGTTGGCCGATCTGTTGTTCCTCTGCAAAATCTATCCACTGGGGGCGTCTACTCCTCTGTCTTTTCCCCATCATGCCTGATGGACAAAGCAGCCGCTTTACTGGAAGCCTCCACCAAACGAAATTTTCGGCATCAGAGGTCGTCCAGCCTCAGCTCCTCATCTTCTAGCTCTTCTTCCTCTTCTTCCTCCTCACTTAGTTCTTCCTCTTCTTCATCGTCTCATTCATCTCAATCTCTTTCCTTTCCCACTGCAGCCAACGAAGCCTTGGGAACTGTAATGACCCCCCACAAACTCAATTTCCCGATAGCAATTCAATCCAGGCCCAAGGAAGAAGCGATTAGGTAATTTATTTCATGACATTAACTTCAGGAAGTTCAATAATTCCTTCCTTATATTGTCAATATCTACATCTCCAGCAAATAAATCTAGCTTAGATGTATAATGACGAAAATGGTCTAATCCAAATTAATATTCTCCTTTTCATAAGAAGGAAATTTGTGTGGGAAACAGAGTCTTAAGTCATCCTTGCTAGATTGGTTGGTTCTAGCATTATCGCTTAGGCCAGTGATTCCCAAACTGTGCGCCGCGGCACCCCGGGGAGCCGTGGCCTCTTTACAGGGGCGCCGCGAAATATAGTAAAAGCTTGATAATTAAGTTAACCCAGACATTTGGCCAAACTAAACAAAAGCGTGAGAGAAAACGCTGCGCCTTCTCAATCGCGCCATATGATTGCACTAGACACGTCAAGGGGCGTAGAACCTTCGCGACCTATTTGGAATGTTCTGGAAGATCTTGCGGAAAGTATATAAACAAGCGTTGCCGGCTCAATTCAGTCAGTCAACTTATAATTTGCGTCTAGTGAAGTTAAACTCAGCGCTTCTTATATAAATAAACAGTGACATAAATTAATAAATGAGTTCACATTGTAATTTAGTTGGTGTTATATTACTTCTTGTTTGTTGTCTTTGATAAATAATTTTGCGATTTTTGGCTCTTGCATTTTCGATAATGGACCGATTTTTGAACAGTTATAAACGTAATAGTGCAGATAAATAAAGTGTAAGGAAACGAAAATATCGTAACTATGATGACAGTTATTTAGAGTTTGGTTTTACCTCAACAAAAATTAATGATGAAGAGCGACCACAATGTGTATTGTTTATGAAAGTTTTGTTAACAGAGTGTAGGCTTTCAAGTAAATTGAAGCGCCATTTAGAAGCTAATCACAACAGCATGGTTGGCAAACCCCGTAACCTTTTAGCTAAGAAGTTAAAAGAACTGAAACAACAAAAAAATACATTTTTTAAAACTGCATCAATGCCAAACAACGTTTTGCTAGCATCTTAGAAGGTGGCTTACAGAATCGCGAAATGTAAGAAGCCTCATACCATAGCAAAAGAACTTATTCTACCGGCTGCTGTAGACATGGTGAACATCATGGATGATGAGTCTGCTGGGAAGCTGCTTTTAAAAGTGCCTTTGTCCAATAACACAATTAGTCGGAGAATACAA